AGACATATAAAGTGAAAGTAACCATTGTTCTAAATGGATTACTATGTGTTACTGCAGTATGGGGCTTCGTAAGGGGCGGAGTTGCAGAATGGAGAGAAGATCTTGACCTACTTTAACCACAGGAGCTGGACAAGTCTGCATGAGTGGACTTTCTCCCTCAGGAGAGAAAAGAAATGTTCATATATGCTCCCTATGGAGAGAATCGCCTGTTCCTGTATTCGTACCAATGACCTTTTCATGAAATTAGCACTTATGCTACCAACCGCTCTCTGCTGCTTCTCTAGGGCCTGAGCAAATGTTATGGCGGCCCATTAGCAATCCCACACTCATTCATGCAGGATCTGTGAATGCCACATCATCTGCTGTTCATGTTGCCTTTATGCTTTGAATAGTCTGATGCCGCGAGCCAGAAACAAAGGAGAGGTGAAAATACACCAGCAGCACTCATAAAAAAGAAAAAAGCTGTTTGAGTTACTGAGGCCCCTTTACAGTCAGATTATAGAGGTCTGCACCTCTATAATCCACCACAACACGAGCGCTTGCTGAGGACTTAAACCACAGGGGGTTGGAGGTGGGGGCTGTGCTGCTAACCGCAGGCTAGTTTACAGAATATACAGCTAACATTGCATACGATTGTCTCACTGTATGGAGAGTTGTTAGGCATACAGCATCTGTTCAGCATAAAGAAAGTTTGAACAGCAAGGCTTGGACATTGGCAGCTGTTTGTTTGTTACTCTTCCATTAGAACCCGTAGTTTCCCATAGAACATCTTTAGTTCCCCTTTACAAAACCATCAAATGCATTTAGAACCAGCCATTGGTCACTTGTTAAACCATTAGGATCCTTTACATTTTAATATCAACCCAATAAAAAGCCAAAAAACATTGCAAAATCATCAGGAACCTAAAAAAACACTTAATGGTGTCTGTGGGTTTTTCAGCAGGGTACATATGAACGACTAACACACTGCAGGCGTTTTATTTATTTGTTAATGACTTGTTATTCGAGAAAAACAAGGTGATTCAAAAAGATTCGCCCGATTTCAAGATGATTTCACTTGTAAATCATTACAGAACAGTGCAGTAAACTGTAAGTGGTTTAATTGAGAAAAAAGTTTATGTAATTTTACAAGGTCTCAGTATGAACCTCCTCCAGCTGTATGGACAACATCAACGCCATAGTCAAACTCATCCCATACTCGATTGAGCATGTCGGGTGTCGCTGCACTCACGGCTCTTTCAGTGCGATTTCGGACATCATCCAGTGTTGTGGAAGCAACAACGAACGCTCTGAGCTGCTGGAGGTTCACTGCCGACTAGAATCACGTTGCACAGTTATGACGGATTCACTCTTATTGAAGTGGAGAACGCAGAACGCTTTCTGCTCAGGGGTCTTATCTCCTCTCAGACTGAAGGGAGCCATCTTCCACTGACGGTCAGAAACTCTACGACCCCCTCTTTCAATTGGATTGTGATTGGTTCCTAGGCGCCTCACAGTTGTAAAAATATATCACTTTGAAATCAGATGAATCTTTTTTGAATCACTCAGTACTATGAACTTATGGACTAATATTAAGTAAGTTATATAGTTACGAGAGTGAAGAATTGAAATGTTGACCTTTTAAAGGCACTTTTCTACTGCATGGTACCGCCTCGACTCGACTAGACACTACTTGCCTTTTTTGGTTTTCTGTTAGGTGAAAGTAGGTACCTGGTATCCGTTACTTTTTCGGTACCATCCCCATCGAGGTTCCAAGCGAGCTGAGCCAATACCAAAAGGTGCCGTAGAAACGCTACAGACCACTGATTGGTCGGAGAGAATCGCTAAACATACATGCTAATGTAAGCTACCAGGCTAGCATAGCAGTCTTTTGTTTGGCCGCCATCAGGCTTTTCAAAATTCATCTCCTTCACTTCATGGCGGTTTCATTTGGCATCACTATGACAACCAGCTATGTTGAGAGGGTTCTATATCTGCAGTGGCAAACAAAGTAGCTGGTAGTAAAAGCGAGTCAAGTCAAATCGAGTCTTGTCGTACCATGCAGTGGAAAAGCAGCTAACAAATCTACAGTCTAAGAAAAGAGCGTCTTGTTTTTTGGTATTAACCAGGTTAAAAACAGCACGCTTTGTCAGTGTTTCTTAAAGATAAATTCCGTTGTCAAATTTAGTCAAAATTCAGTAACGACATTCTATTAGATTAAGTAATTATTTAGAAAAGAACTGTGTAGAAGTGCAACTGTTAGTAAGTTCTCAGTAAATTTGATTGCAAAGTCTGCATTTATGCTATTTTCTGATTTCTTGCATCACTTTTGTTCTCCAGAGTTTAGTGGACACCCAAAATATTCCTCCAGTGCTGCACCAATTCACAGCAAGGCCTGTCGTTATTGCAGAAATCCTCATCTATAAATGCATCCAAATAAAGAACTGCCAGTTGAACGTCGCTGGTCGCTGTTGCGAGCTCTATTTAACTGGTTTATACTTTATATTCTCCATAACTGAACTATGTTCTGCACTTACTAGACCAGGTCAGCTAACAGGCTAGTTCAGTACTACTGAGAAACAGGCTTCAAATTCAGATATTTCCAAAAGAGTCACTGTAAAACTGCGTATAGGATACAGAATTTGTTACTTGTATGCTTGTTACGAGCTTCATCTGCCAGTGTTTAAGCTAGAATTGGCATTAAATGTGGTTGTACAGCACCGCTAGCTTGGCACTAACAACACTATCAATTCTAATGGGGATAGCAGTGGAAATTAGCATTACGCTAGTGGCTAATCAGACAATGCAACGCTGCTGATAAAATGAATTACAAGGTTTCTGCATTAAACAGTGCTATGTCATGACATACAACTGGCAGATCTTCATGATTTTACAATGGTAAACAGCAAACTGGAGTTCGTGAAGTGACTGGAATATCCCGCTTATTTAAGTCCTGTCAGATCCATGATTTTCCATTATCAGCTGCACTTCTGAAATTGGCGCTCCACGGCCTCCAGCACGCACAGTACAGGCTGGTGCATGCTGAAATCTGCTTCATCTCCACAAGTAATTCAATTTTGCTGTCTGTGAAACTGCAAAATGAGTGTGAAATAAATGTAATAGTAATAATAAAAAAATGTAGAAGCAATTTTCTAGGTTTTTGGCACCTCCTGAGTTATGAATTTTAAATATTACTTGTACGTCATACTGCACTGTACATAAGCCACACCCCCCACAGCTTTTGAAAATGTATCATTCAGATATTTGCTTGGTCGCCGCATGATGGGGAAGACCTTTTCATAACCATCTTTCACATCATTGCCTGTTGGATTTTCTGTTTCGCGGATGACTTAATCAGCAGACTGACCGATCAGGGCTGTGCTTTCAGGGTTACAAACAGAAAATAACACAGCTTGTCCTACATACAGTAGACCTTTTTTCACATTTAACACCGAATATCACATAAAATCCACATTAATTTGTGTACATTCATATCCTGCCTGTCAAGCTGTTTGGGCGCTCTCATCTCTCTGTTTATGTCTGTCCAGTTTGTCTTTTACCCTCGCTACTTATTTCTTTATTCACTTGGGTGGGCATGGTTTTGGAGGGGGGCAGTGCTTACGGGTGGGCAAGGTACAGAGCGTCACCACTACTGTATGAGATCCACACTGTAAACTATGAATTTAAAGACAATAACAGCAAAATAAAGTGTTACTGGCTGGTCTGGCCAACGCTGATTGGCCTGGGATTAAAAAAAAAAAAGTGAAACCCTCTTGCGGCGCCTTTTTTGAAAGTTTTGAGCATAGTAAATCTGGTGGCTTCCCTCTCTTGTATGTCAGCAGAAAGCCCTCCCCAACCTTTGTGTGCTTTGGTCATAAAATGCTGCTTAAATCCCTACCTCATTTTTCAAATATGTCCTATGTGACTGTGACTTGCTAGAAAAAAATGACCACCATCCCTCATGAAGGAGGTCTCGTTCCACAGTGGTGGTTCTTTTAATCCTGACTGTATAGAATCGCCCCGAAATCAAGGTTAGAGGAGGGAAAACTTGAAACTGGAGGTCATTTTGGACTCGAGAACCATTCCAGTAGGAGCTGGAATTTAACACGGCTCTATGACCAGATTCGATTTTCTAGTGTTGACCATAAAAACCATGGGAAGCTGACGTCACATCGGTGTAAATGGGTCAACTGTTGAGAATACAAAGAAGGTCACCTGAGCTTGCATTTTTGGTCCGTTCACTGTTATGTAGCCGCTTCTTGTTGGTAACTTCAGCTTTTTTGTCATCAGATGACCTTGGTTTCACTAACAGTTGGACATATTCATAGAATAACTGATCTGAAATTGAAATGACTGACATTTTTGTCTCTGACACTTGTTACTGCCGTCTTAGTAGAGTTTATCAAATTTGTGAAAGTGCCACATAAAATAAAACTACCTGTCTGACTGTGTATAATTGTAATGACGCCTGTGTGGGTAGTTATTTAGGAATGCACTGATATGAGAAGTGGGCTGATGCTGATTCATAAACATTTATAAAATGTAGAAATTGGGACTAAGTCTACCTTGGATTAGCAGCAAAATAAATAAAATGCAGACGTTTTAGTGCAGTAGTCCTGTGGCACCTAAACGTTCTGCCTTTCCGTAGTACAATAAATACATTGTCAAATATCTGCTTGAAATCAGTCAAATCTAGATATCTGTCCAATGTTGATAAAATTATTAAAAGCAATCATCTGCTGAGACTGTTTTGGGGCATCTCTAGTGTTTTTGCACAATTTTGAATGTTTACTGTTTTTAAAGTCATTCTAAGTCATTTCATTTTAGCCCATCCCCATACCTGCATGGTGTGACAGCCTCTTTAGTGCAATGAAAACATGCAAATTAAATCCCAGTCTAAACCATATCTGATATCCAAACCCACTAACCTGTTGCTTACGGAAAGCAGTGCTCACAGTGTTTGTAACAGAGCTGAAGAGTGAACTCCGAGACAGTTAATGACTTCTCTTCTTCTCCCCCAGGAGATCTCTCAGGAAGATGTTTCCACAATCAGGGAAATCCATCGTCTTTGACAGCTTTCCGGATCCATCCGACACCTGGGAGATCATCGAGACCATCGGAAAAGGGACTTACGGCAAAGTCTACAAAGTGCTAAATAAGGTCAATGGCAGCAAAGCAGCCGTCAAAATATTGGATCCAATTCATGTGAGTAATGTTCTAATTATTAAAAATATGATACATGCTGACCATGATGTGTTTTATGTATGGGGACAGTCATGTGCTGGAGGTTAGGGAACCAGCCCTGGGACCGGAAGGTCGCTGGTTCGATCCCCTCAGCCGACAGTACGTGACTGAAGTGCCCTTGAGCAAGACACCTAACCCCCAGCTGCTCCCCGGGCACTGTGGATAGGGCTGCCCACCACTCCCGGGCAAGTGTGCTCACTGCCCCCTAGTGTGTGTGTTCACTAGTGTGCATGTATGTGGGTGTTTCGCTGCACGGATGGGTTAAATGCAGAGGTCTAATTCCTCTGTGTGCAAACACAGTTGGCCAATGGTTCTGAATTCTAATTCTTCTAATCTCTCTGAGATGCATCACATTACATCAGACCTGCTGTAGTTGTTGTCCCTCTTCCAGTGTGGACCGTGGAGCGCACAATATTACCATCCAATACAGATAATGCTTCCTTGAACTTGAATAACATTAAATAATTGGCCTTATACCTGCATAGATTTGAATAAATCAGTTTCCAGCCCTTCGTTTTTTGTTTCACTATTCGTCTAGTTGCTATCGGTTGGACACACAGCATTTATTCTGCTCCCACAGTTCTGTGATAGCTTGTCCTTGTTTGTAGACGGTGGCCTGATTTAGTTCAATTCAGATCAGTGCAGATTTAAACTAACCAGTTATAAAGAAGCAGAAGCCAAGAAAAATTTCCTGTTGTACAAATTGTGATATAGGCAGATCCAGCAGGCCTAACGAGTTATATTAAAGGGGAATTCCACTGATCTTTCAAAATTTCTGCATACTTCAGTGGCTGAGATGTAAACAGTCATTCAGAGTGGTTTGGTGTGAAATGGTTAATTGTAGAGAAACTACATAATTTCTTTACAGTGGTGGTGATAGGAACCAGGAGTCACAATGTATAAAACACAAATATAGCCATTTTATTTACTATCCAAAACCACCAGTGAACCTACACGAGTCTTCTGAGTTTCATATGGAATGCTGATGATGGTAAAATAGTGGTAAACCTAAAAAACATAGACTATTTTGTCTTACAACACCCTGCATGTATCTCTCCGCCATGTATGGATTCTAAAAAATATGTTTCAGGCATGAGGCAGCATATTCATAACCATTTTGTTAAAAAAATTAATAAATAAATAAAACTTTCTGTGAGGGAGCTTTTAGAGACATTAAGGCCCAGTCCCATTTCACCCCTCGCCCCTACCACTTAGCCTTTAGCCCTCTGTTTTGCACGTTCACGTCTAGGTTAGGGTGTCCCAATTTTGTTGAGATAGAGGTGTAGGGTGAAGTGTTAGGGCTACATGACCCTCCAAACTGAGGTTTTTCAGAGACTCCAAACAGTGTTATTAGAAAAAAAAGAAAAACCAGCAAGACAGCTGCACAAGCGACCGAAGAAACCCACAAATGTGAGAATTTTCTCTGTTAAAAAATTACTATAACTACTGTATTATCTCAGTTTAATGTCATTTCAATGTATTATGGTCGTTTTCTTCATAACATGCATAAAAAATCATTAATAGTATGCTAATGTCTCGGTAGCTAGCTAGCGAACTTTCTCATTCCACCTTAAATAGTCCAGCAGTTCTGATGCCAGAAGCGCCAGAATGTAACTGCTGCACCATTTAAGGTGGAACGGGAAAATTCGAACAAGAAGCTGGTGAATATCTGACTTCAGCTTCATATCACCAAAGAATTAACTAAATGTAACTAAAGCCCAGCAGTGAGGAGCTGAACTTTACCCTCCTCTGCTATCACTGAAGACTGGCCGGATAGCCTGAAGAGCAGCGCTAGTAGCTGTTAATGAAGCAATGTTTTAATTTGAGTGTCCCATTTCATTGGCCAATATTTCAACCACTACCCCTTATAACTCAGTCCAAGGGGTTAGGGTGACGCTCGAAAACAAGGGGTAGGGGTAAGAAGAAGAAATGGGATTGGGCCTAATTGCTTCAGACGTCTGGTTCTTATCACCACCACTGTGGACAACTCTGACTGCTAAGTTTCTTTAAAACTGAGCATTTCACGTCAAACCACTCGGAATAATTTCCCTTTAAGCATCTCTATTTTCATGCAACAGGATGAATATCACAATAAATGGATAGTGAGAATGTATGTTAGGTTAGATTTGGGTTATATACAGTGTAATGGGGTGAGTAGACCGTGGTTCAGCAATCCTCGCCCCTGTGCTACCTCCCTCAAGGCTCCAGAGATCACTGAATTACACTGGATACAAATTTATGACACAGTGAGTAAATCAAGGTCAGCCTCTCATATACCCAGAGCTCCCCCATGTCCTGTATTTCTTTTGGGGCGGTTTTTAAGGGTCACACAGGTATGACCGTCAGTTCACATTAACGTGTTTTCGCAGGTCTCCGTCTCTGCCATGGGTGTTTATGTCCTGCAGTCTGTTTATACCCTCTCATGTCCTGAACACTTACCTGAAGCCATCATATAAACTTGCCTAACACTGTCATTTGTCAGATTAGGAACAGCACACCTGTATCTGAAAGACATGCTGTAGGCTTTCTCTCTTTCTACCTGATTTCTCTCTCTCTTTTTTCCTTCCTTCCATTTCTCTCTCTCTCTCTGCCATATTTTTATAGTTGGCCAAATATAACCCCTTCACAGCACAAAGCCCAATCTGTTTAATCATGTTGAGATGGCTCTGGGGGAAAGATGCCATTTGTATTCATTAAGTATAGTCTTACCCTCCTTTTCAAGGTCCTGGGTCTGAAAGGTCTGAGTGCGTCAGTGTCCAATAGCTGCCATTGTGCTCAAAATTACTCATTCAGATTTCAGAAAGCCAGACTAAATTAAATGTACCGCGATGGCCGCGACGTCTTTGTGTCCTAGTTATGCATAAGTGTTTATTTCCGTTGAGGTTCAAACAAATATACTCAAGCAACTTCGTTCTCAGTTGTGAAACCACAGAACACTTATCATTCAAACCCACAGTGAACAGCAGGATGCTCCTTGGCTGAAATGATTGGCTTGTTTTTACTCCTCACAGCATGCACTTTGTTAACCGTACTGCCCAAATAGCTGTAAATAAAATCCAAGTTAAGTCACTCTTTGCGTAGAGGTGTTTGACTGATGCAGAGCTGTGACAAAATATGGCCACTTGTGTGGGCTTTGTTGCTATGGTGGCATATTTGATATTTGAAATAAGTGCTCTACACCAATCAGGCATAACATTATGACCACCTCCTTGTTTCCACGCTCCTTTTCCATTTTATCAGCTCCACTTACTATATAGGTGCACTTTGTAGTTCTACAGTTACAGACTGTAGTCCATCTGTTTCTCTGCGTACTTTGTTAGCCCCCTTTTACCCTGTTCTTCAGTGGTCAGGACCCCCATGGACCCTCACAGAGCAGGTACTATTTGGGTGGTGGATCATTCTCAGCACTGCAGTAACACTGATGTGGTGGTGGTGGTGGTATTAGTGTGTGTTGTGCTGGTCTGAGTGGATCAGACACAGCAGTGCTGCTGGAGTTTTTAAACACTGTGTCCACTCACTGTCCACTCTATTAGACACTCCTACCTTGTCAGTCCACCTTGTAGATGTAAAGTCAGAGACGATAGCTCATCTGCTGCTGCACAGTTTATGTTGGTCATCCTCTAGTCCTTCATCAGTGGTCACAGGACGCTGTTGGCTGGATATTTTTGGTTGGTGGACTATTCTCAGTCCAGCAGTGACACTGAGGTGTTTAAAAACTCCAGCAGCACTGCTGTGTCTGATCCACTCAGACCAGCGCAACACACACTAACACACCACCACCACGTCAGTGTTACTGCAGTGCTGAGAATGATCCACCACCCAAACTGTACCTGCTTTGTGAGGGTCCATGGGGGTCCTGACCACTGAAGAACAGGGTAAAAGGGGGCTAACAAAGTATGCAGAGAAACAGATGGACTACAGTCTGTAACTGTAGAACTACAAAGTGCACCTATATAGTAAGTGGAGCTGATAAAATGGACAATGAGAGTAGAAACAAGGATAATAATGTTATGGCTGATTGGAGTATATGTATGAAAGTCTGTAGACACCTACTTCTCCAGCATTTCTTCTGAAATGAAGGGTATTAATAGGGGGTTTGTCCCCCATTGCTGCAGTAACAGCCTCTACTCTTCTGGGAAGGCTTTACACTAAAGATGTTGGAACATTGCTGTGAGGATTTGATTGCATTCAGCCACAAGAGCATTAGTGAGGTCAGGTACTGATATTGGATGATCAGTTCTGGACACTCCAACTCATCCCTAAGGTACTGGAGCTCCATAACTCCAGAGAACACAGTTCCACTGCTCAACAGCCCAATGCTGGGGAGCTTAATACCCCTCTAGCTGACACTTTGCATTGGGCATGTTGACAGTAGGCTCATGTGCAGCTGCTCCAGATCATCCCTGTCTGTTAGTAATGCTTTTCTCTAGAAATTATAAAAGCACCTTGAATTAGCTGAATTCACTATATAGAAAGGGTGTCTGGACACTTTTGGATGCATGACGTATTTTGGATTTGTATTTTATTAATTTGTAATAAATTCAAACCTGTATCTGTGTATTTAAATCTGCTGGCTTGCTGTAAGTGACATGCTTCATCAGATCAATACTCAGGAAAGGCCCATATTCTACATTTTTCTTGTACTGAATTTTTTTCCCCTGAAGACATTTTATGACATCTGTGTGGTTATATGCACCAAAACAGTCATTAATTATTTATCTATGACCATTTTCCAACATCTCTTTATCACCTAGAATTAAGGATGCTCTGTTTGTTAATATGCCATTAAGACTGATATGCAAATGACCTCTGTTCCGATTAACTGACCTGTATTCTGCCTCGCTTAAAAAGCAGTCCAGGCTGAACAACTCCTCATAACATCAACATGAATAGGCAGAGCTAAACTGCTGTAGGCTGAGTAGCTGGATTATGTAAATGTGTTGCTGTTGATGACATCACAGAATCAATGCATTTAAAACAAGTTTAATCTGTGAACTGTATGGACTGTAAGGATGTGTGTGTGTGTGTGTGGGGTGAACTACATCTCACTGACATTACATCACCACATCAGCTCCAGGCTGAATAACTCCTCATAATTTGTGAAAGGGCGGAGCTAAACTTGCGTAGCATGAATATGTAGATGTATGTAAATGTGTTTTTTGTTTTTTTGGTTTTTTTTATACTATGAACAGTGAACTCAAAACAGGCTTTGTTTCTACACAGGGACTTTATAGACTGAAGAGTGAACAGTACGTTATGAAAAATTAACCAAAGTTTGCTTTGTGTAGAGTTTTAAAATAATAGTTTTAATGAATCATTGTGACTCTGTGCACTTTTCAGTATCCCAGATTGATCTTCATTAGACTGAATATTTCCCCCTCTGTTGCTCATTACCGTGGAGTAATTACCCGTTAGCCACAGGCAAGCATTACCCTCATTTTAATCAATTGTCTGATTGGCTCCCACTGAAAAGCTCTTAGGCACAAAGCCGAGTGACACTCTTTAATATTCTAGTGCCAAATATGCGGCGTGTACTCTGCATTTTGCTGTAGTCCTGTTTGTTTTGTGGGTTTGTGACCCATGTAGGCTCGGGGGCAGACAGGGTGGTGCAGCCTACAAACGACATCGTGTTTAGTTTCTTTCCCCCATTCAAAGCCCAGCCAGCGACTGAATGCTGAGACTGGAAAATGTCTCCAAGTGATAAGGACCATTGTTTAGGCAGCTCAGTGTAAACACTGTTAATACTTAATGCATGAGTCTTAAGTTGCTGAGTTGCTTTCAGAATGTTGCGTATTCAGACCGCTTTATTGTTATTTTGCTGCTTATTTGGAATATCTATACAGAAATGCTAACATATGCAGCTTTTTCAACGGAAATAAGTTTAATAAATAAACAGTATCATAATGTGTACTATGTGATACACTATACAAAAGTTAGTTCCAACCACACGACATCTGATTGGTTGAGAAGCATTCTGTCCTAAACAACAGCATGTGTTGTTCACAATAACTGTATCACTGTACTGGTAACTCCCTGTTCACACGTATCTGGGTATTTTTGAAAATGTAGTTTATTTTTTCTCTCTGTTTTTGAAATAAATCTTTGTCCACACCAACAGCATTTTTGAAAATCTCTGTCCACATGAGAACACGAAAATGACTCAAACGCTCACATGAGCGTGTCAGGCCAGTACAAGGTGATAAAACCTTGTGAAATGTGATGTCAGGTGCCTGAAGATTACATGTGTATTACACAGAAGCACGAAACTGTAGTGACAGCATCATGTTAGTGTGTTGCTAACACAGTGCTTAACCGAAATGATGTAGAAGTAAAGTTCAGCTGTAAACATGCCACCAATCCTCAAATTGTCGAGCACACAGAAAAAACCTGGTCTCCAACTATATTGTAGCCCAAGTTCTGATGCACGTTCAGTAAATGTAAACAGTAAGTAAACATGCGCAAGTTAACTGAGTGTCAGCGCTTTGCCCGTCCGGACAAAACACTAAAACTCCTATCTGGAGAGCATTTTTGGAAACCTCCCGTTTCAGTTCCCTAAAATGTCGTGTTCATGTGGACAGGAGGCCAAACTGCAGAGAAAAAACTGTTTTCAACAATATCCAGATACGTCTGGACAATCCTGAAAAGGCTGGACCTGATATTGTGGACCTTTTTTGGTTCTATCTTTAATGCAAAAGGCCACCACTTTCTTTTGGTGGAAACATTGCTAGTTTTAAAGCACATTTGATGCCATGTTCTGGGCTTCTTTTCTTTATGTTTATCCTTATTTTGCAGAACTGTCGCATGAAATCAGTAGAACATTTATCACTTCCTCTCATGTTCTATTGCATAAGCCTACAATATAACATGCAAGACAGTATAAGTATCAATCTGTAATACTACAGTATTATAATACAGCAGTATAAAATAGGAAGATATTGTGAAAGTTTATAGTTTTGCACAAATTACAATGTTCCAATGTTTAGTGTACTCTAAAGGGCCCGCTTTGTGACCCCAATACGTGATCATAAGCATCTTTACGGTAGCTGATCATACAGACTGTGCACAGGATGGCCTACTAGTTCAGTGCTCTAGTGATATGCAGGACTTTTACAACACGCAGTGACATAGTGGGGCTGTTAACAACCTTGAGACAGAAGAAACATTCAATGATGGACAGCAGTGTTAATTAACCATTTTACATGGATGTTATTGTGCTGCAGCTCAAAAAATACAGTTTGGGAAGCAGTAACACATTATGAGCACATACAGGTGCGTCAAGGCACATTTTGAGAAGTGTCTTCTCATGTACGTCTAAAGTTGTGCTGTTCTGTTAGCAGTATTGTTTAAGCACATGTTCAAGGCCTGTGTGGCCGCAGTGACTTAAATTGTTAAAGTCTCCCAACTACACGCTTTAGAGACACTACAACTGGTTTTGAGAGGCGGAGACAAATTCATGCAAAAACATGCAGCCAACTACACTTCCAATATCTCCATTCATTTTCTGTGTGATTCTCCTTTGATCCTCCCTCAAATCCATATGCATTAGAGAGAGAAATGTGTTTAGCATTTGTTCACATACATGGCAGATAATTTACCCTTGACTATTAGATCTAGGCTTTCAATCTGAGCTATTAATGTCAAAACTCACTGAAGACATGAGGAAAAACCCACCTCAGTGATAATGCTAATATCTGCTAGCATTCCAACAGGATTATAGTAGTTTGTTAGCACTAAGCTAACAGTGATTTGCATGAACACTGACGAGGCTGACGTTTACTTCTTGTTCAGATTTTCCGCTCCACCTTAAACGGTGCAGCATTTACTTTCTGGCGTATTGAAGGAACCAGAATGTAACAGCTGCAGTGTTTAAGCTAGAAGGGAAAATTTACTGGCACCTGTATGAAACTGCTGCACCATTTAAGGTGGTATGGGAAATTCAGAAAGACAGTTCTAGACTAAACACAGAATATTTTAGCATATTTTATCTTGAAGCAGTTCACAGTCACTCTTTCAGTAGAGAGGCTGGTGTAGAGCCGCCGCTATTTTCCGTTTCTACCAGCTCACTGATTAGGCTGCTGTTTGATTGTGAATCAAAATGTGATTTACAATCAGACAGTCATAGTTGGTTCCTCTGTCGCGTTGTAATTATGCTGATGATTAAAAACACATTAGGACTTCTCTTTGGCTCTTGACGTCATAACCACTGGGAGAGCTTGCTTAGCTATATTTAACTAGATACCACAGAGAAAAACAGTTCCCAGTTGGCCAGTTTTCCACCTGGTGTTTGATGAATTTACCCATTTTCGTTTTCATCCAGAACTTAACGTTGGAACAAAAGTAGTAAAAATTACAGACATGCATTTTTAGTTCCTAGAAATCATTAGGCCTTCTCTGAAAGTCTCGAAGGCCCTGAGGGTTCGGCTCTCTTAAATTACACATTTAGGCTTATGTGTCCGTTTCCTAAATGCAGGCAGAATAAATCCTGTTTACATCTGAACCTGGCGCAAAAAAGTCAAAGTTAAAGTTTATTTATGTAGCCCTTTTGTGCAGCAGGTGTCGTCACAAAGCAGCTTTACAGAAAAATCCAGGTCCAAGCCCCCATGAGCGTCACCAGTGGCGACATTGGCAAGGAAAAACTCCCTAAGAGCAAGAGGAAGAAACCTGGGGGGGACCAAGACTCAGAAGGGGAACCCATCCTCCTCTGGTCGACAGAAGAAGCAACAGCATCAGACACACAGGATGGGCAGCTGTTCAACTCAGCAAAGAAAGGAAAACACACAGAGCGTTAGTTCTGTAAAGAGTGACTGATCACAGTTTGCAGGGTTAACAGAGAGAAAGAACTTAGTACATTGGCCCAGACTGTACAAAACTACACTCCATTACTGTGCTCTAACACTGTGTGTTTATTTCAGGATATCGACGAGGAGATTGAAGCAGAGTACAACATCCTGAAAGCGCTGTCAGACCATCCCAATGTGGTGAAGTTCTATGGCATGTATTATAAGAAGGATCTGAAAAATGGAGACCAGCTGTGGCTGGTGTTGGAGGTAAATATTCCTGTTTCTCTATCTGTGCTTCTTAACCACTGAAAGATTTGATCATTTTTAACCATTTATTTCCAGACTGATAAAATTGAAAGTTACATACTGTAGTTCTTTAGTATTTTTATGCAGGCTGTGTTTATGACACTAATAATCAATGGTAGGACTATTTCTGAGTGAGTATAATGAATACCTGTCATGGAAGGCACATCCAGTTTTGCCTGAGCCTTAATGTACAAGTGGTTTAGCAATTATTATGAATGCAAGATATGGGAGTTCTGGGCTGATGCCAGTAGCTGATATGGGTGACAAATAAAAATGAATAAATAAATAAATAAATAAATAAAGTGGTTTTTACAGTAAATTAGTCATATTTAGTACTTTGTTGCATATCCTTTGCATGCATTGACCACTTGAAGTGTGCGACTCGTAGACATTACCACATTGCCCTGCCAAGCTTGTACTGCAGCCATCTTCAGCTTCTGCTTGTTTTGGGGGCTAGCCCCCTTAAGTTTTGTATTCTGCGCATGCAGAAGCTCAGTGGGCTTCTTTGTTGCTTTGGCAGTGTGTTTGGGATCATTGTTGTGCTGTAGGATGAAGCTTGGAGACATTTTCCTGAACTTGAGTTGATAAGATGCTGCAATACCCCTCAGAATTGTTGCTAGTGCCATCAGCAGTTACATCATCAGTGAAGATGAGCGAGTCAGTATCTGTTGCTCCCATACAGGTATGCTTCGGATCTTGGACAGTTCCTTTTCACCTCCACACTTTGCTCCCCCTGTCGCTCTGATGCAAGTTAATCTTGGTCTCATCTGTCCAGAAGACCTTTTTCCAGAACTCTGCAGGCTCTATTAAGTACTTTACTTTAACTGTAACCTGGGGATCCTGTTTTTTTGTGGCTAACTTGTGGTTTGAATCTTGCAGTGTAGCCTCTGTATTTCTGTTTACGAAGTCTTCAGTTGTCACTGACAAATCCATAGCTATACTGCATCACTGAGATGGGAGATTTACATTTTCAAAATATCTGAGAACTTTGTAGGAAGGAGAGCCCTGCTGCTGTAAGCTTTTGGTGCTCAGGCTGGCTCTTATGGTGAGTTATTCAGAACAAGCGCCTTAAGCCAGGCACTGTATGACTTTTAGCCCATTTTTAAGCCCGATTTCGTCTGAACCGACTGAATTTCATGATTGGGCCGAATTTCAGCTTCATCAGCCGTCATTTGCTGTGCAGTGTGAGGGGAAGCGATGCCCAATTAACTGCTCAAACGAGCTCCTATCGAGCAGTCGGATGATCGGATGGATTTCTGAAATTTTGGTTGCTTGTCTCTCAGTCTGAGCAGCCTCGCAAACCGATTTCTCAAAGTCGCAACCAAAACAACACACAGTCACAACCGCAGCTCCTGCACAGAGGCAAACAAGTCCACATTTGCGGTACTAACATCCGTATATGATGACTTTGCTCCATTTGACTGAGTTGAATTGTGAGGCGTAAATAAATACAGTGGGTATTTTTTTGTCTTTGTAGAGCTGCCTGTGGACCACCTGTTCTTTAGCTTCAGTGCACAGTGTAGCACAAGTTAGCAAAGCTGTTGTATTGTTTGTCAATGGCTGAATCTGACTTCTGCACCAAAATAGTGCACTGTTTATCCAGTATAGAACTGTGCACATATGGCTGAATCTCAGAAGGCTATTTATTAGGCATGTGATGTGCTTTATGGGTAAAGGAGCAACTGTTTTAATATGTGGTGCATGTAGGGCATGTACTGAGCTGTTTGAGATTCAGCCAGTTTTTTGATCAGGACTCGGAGGCCCAGCGTGTTGCTTTGAATGAAGCAGCTTTATTGGAAATTGTAGACAGAGCTGACTGTAAAGGCTGCGTTTTATGTGCAGTGTGAGCACCCATGTCGCGTCATGTCAGTGTGAGCATATAAATCTCAGGTGATTCAAATGTACAGGGTGAGTCACCAAAGAACAAGATTTCTAAAATGGCACAGTGTGTGCCTGGCTTTAGATGTAGGCCAGATTTGGTTCCAAAACCACCCTCCACTTGGCCAAGTTTCATTAGGTCTCCTTTACACGTTTACTGCTCATGTGCACTAAGCGTTAGCGGTGATGCTCATTCTGCTGCTCCTCTGGTGTTGATTTCAAAAAGAGGAATGCAGGACCAGCTAAAAGCTTAGACACACCTGATGATTGATTGTATGTTTTTCATAATCTTAAAAACATTTTAATCTACAGTCATATGCAAAAGACTGGCTGCTGCTTGTCAAATAAAATGTTTTGTTAATCTTGTTTTTTTGTTAATCTTCTACATGACAGTAAGATATCCTTTATAGAGAACACAGTTCTGCACATTTTAACGCACGGTTATTGTTTAATTGTTGAATTTAACATATTGGGGAAAAACATGATGTGTGGTCTGTGCAAAAGTTATGGCACACTTTATATTCAGTATTTCGTTTTTTTTCCAGAATTTTAACTCAAATAAATAGAAATTGTGCACTAATATGTGCTGTAAAATTCCAAGTGTGTTTTCTGTAAAAGGGGTGTGTAAACTGATTTTTACTTAGAAAATCAACAAAACACGATTTGACTGCGGTGATTTGACCAACTTTTGCATATGACTGTAATTGCATTGCTTGAAGTTTGTTTTTAAGAGAACCATAAACAGTGTAGTTGATGCCTGAATGTATTTCCAAAACAAAAATAATTTTAAAAGTAATTTATTTAAATGCCACCAGAAAAAAGTAGTTTTCAGCAGCCTCAGTACACACAGATCAGGCATAACTTTATGACCACCTCCTTGTTTCTACACTCATTGTCCATTTTATCAGCTCCACTTACTATATAGGAGCACTTTGTAGTTCAACAGTTACAGACTGTAGTCCATCTGTTTCTCGGCATACTTTGTTAGCCCGCTTTTACCCTGTTCTTCAGTGGTCAGGACCCCCATGGACCCTCACAGAGCAGGTACTATTTGGGTGTTGGATCATTCTCAGCACTGCAGTAACACTGACGTGGTGGTGGTGTGTTAGTGTGTGTTGTGCTGGTCTGAGTGGATCAGACACAGCAGTGCTGCTGAAGGACTAGAGGATGACCAACACAAACTGTGCAGCAGCAGATGAGCTATCGTCTCTGACTTTACATCTACAAGGTGGACTGAGAAGGTAGAGTGGACAGTGAGTGGACACAGTGTTTAAAAACTCCAGCAGCACTGCTGTGTCTGATCCACTCAGACCAGCGCAACACACACTAACACACCACCATCTGTGTTTATGCATGCTAGCAATGAGTATTACCATCATTGCCTGTAGTATACATTTGAAAACAGGTCTTTCACTTCCCCGGTACTGTGTCTGGTTCTGTGTCACCATTCTCAGGTTAAAAAAGTGAGCTGCAGCTGGATGCAGAGGGGATAAGGTGCAGCTTACAGAAGGGAGGAGTAATCCTAGCTACTGGTTTGAGGTTTGGTAACGTCGCAGTGTGCTGAGTCCTGCTGAGAGGCGACGTGTGTGTGGATTGCTGTTTCTAGGTCGCTACTCAGTCTCCACACACCTGTCAGGTTCCTGTCAGCTTTATCTTTGGCACAGTGGAGACGCATGGATGTGCTTTCAGCTGCTGCTCTGAGGAACATTTTGCTCACACCTGGGCCTCAGCCTGTCTCTCTGCCTCTACCTGTACCCATACCTGTAAACACGGTCAGACAGTAGTACATAGCATTGGTACCATGTGATTGCTTGATTGAATGAATGATTTACAACATTGTGTGCTTGAAAGCACACTAAACTGTCTCAGAACGCAATATCTGCTTCTAGAAACTATGCAAAAACTTTGTTGTTTAGAGTACAGGTGTCACGATAGAGCCAAGTGTAAGGTTGCATTTACCATGACATTGTGGTATCTGGCCAAAAAAACAAAAAAAAAAACCACTGATACACATTTCTGGTTTTCTTCACAGAAGGAAGTGAAAAATAAGGCTAGCTAAGGCTGGTTCTGTCTTGCATATCTCTATGTGAGCTGTTCTTCTAGATCTTTATAGATGCATAAGATGGCTCTGGATGCGAGCTCTTCTTACAGGTGTTCAGAGTTGGCCTGTGCAGCTCTGGATGTGATCTGCTCTTATAGATGTTTAGAGTCGAATTGTGCAGCTCCGAATGTGAACTGTTCTCATAGATATTTGGATTTGGGTTGCACAGCTCTGGATATGAACTGTTCTAGAACTTTAGAGGTGTATTGTGCAACTTTCGAAGTGAGCAGTTCTTCTAGATCTTAAGAGGTAGATTATTTAGCTTTGGATGCGAGCTCTTCTTACAGGTGTTCAGAGTTGGATTGTGCAGCTCTGGATGTGAGCTGTTCTTCTAGATCTTTAGAGATGTATTGTGCAACTCTGGACATGGGGTCTTCTTCTACATCTTTGGAGATGTGCTGCTGTGGATGTGAGCTCCTTTTGCAGGTGTTAAGAGTTGGCTTGTTTAGCTCTGTAAATGAGCGGTTCTTCTAGATCTTCAGAGATGGACTATACAGTTTTGGATGTGAGCTCTTACAGGTGTTTAGAGTTGGCTTGTGTAGCTCTGGAAGTCAACTGTTCCCATAAATATTTGGAGTTGGATTGTACAGCTCTGGATATGAGCTGTTCTTCTAGATCTTTAGAGATGTATTGTGCAGCTCTGAAAGTGAGCTCTTCTTCTAGACCTTTAGAGATGGATCATACAGTTCTGCATGTGAGCTTTTCTTACAGGTGTTAAGAGTTGGCTTGTGCATCTCTGGATGTAGGCTGTTCTTCTAGATCTTTAGAGGTGTATTTTCTAACTTGGGATATAAATTGTTCTTATATTTCTGTAGAATTGGATTGTACAGCTCTTGATATGAGCAGTTGTTCTTGCACATCTTTAGAGTTGGATTATTGATCTTTGAATGTAAGCTGTTCTTATGGATTTTTAAAGTTGGATTGTACAGCTCTGGATGTGAACTGAAAGCAGTGATGTGATTATCGGAAGCTCCTCAGAACA